TCTACTGTGGATGAATTACTTAACTCTGTCACCTCTAGTGTTTTGAATGTTCTGGACACGATTGCTCCTGTAAAGGTTAAAATTGTTACAAATAAGCAAAAGGCGCCATGGACAAAAGCAGACTCGGTCAGGGCACAGAACAGAGAGTGCCTGAGAGCCGAGCGGAAGTGGCGAAAGTCAAATCTCCAAGTTGACCATGAGATCTTCAAAGATGCATTGTGCAAGTTCAACAGTGTGCTACGTAGAACGAGGGAAACGAAAGGGATTTTTCCGAAACTATCGAAGGTTGCAGTAACAATCTACGCGTTATATTCTCAACAGTGAATAAATTGACCAATCCCCCTGTTAAGAGGCCATCAGAGCTTACCTCCAAAACCAAATGTAATGAGTTTGCTGAGTTTTTTAATGACAAAGTGCAAGGCATCAAAAACGCCATCACCTCCACAGTAGAAATCACAATCCAACAGCCAGTGAAGCTTTTTGGGCTGACACACTTTACACCAGTACAAAATGAAACTGTCAAAATGATAATTACAAGTCTGAGTTCTTCTACATGCAGCCTGAATGTATTAACTCCTAGATTTGAATCTGGAACATTCCCAATGGCCCTGAAAACGGCAGTCATCAGACCCTCCTAAAAAAGAGGAGTCTGGATGCCTTGGCACTTAAAGACCTTATGCCGGGTTTAAAAAAAAATAATTGTGGATATCAAAATTGCATGACAATGTCGATCTGAAATAGATTCTGGCAAAAAAATCCTATATTGCTGTACACCGCCTTGTCATCTTGAATATCCTCAAAAAAAGAACGAATACCAAATTGTAAACAACTTACAGCGTTGAAACGTACCCACCCTGACGTCACCAAGGGCTGTAACGTTTTTTTGTCTCTAAGGGCGTTGCTATGGGGTTATTTCGATTTGGGGGAATCAGACAATAAAAACAACAACTGATTTTGAAACCTTTAGTAGTTCTCTTCTAATATAAAATGGTATTAAAACTGTATTTCTAAATAAATCAAACCCGGCATAAGGTCTTTAAAAGTTATCGACCCATTTCAAATCTGCCTTTCATGGGTAAAATTCTAGAAAAAGTTGTCTATCAACAACTTACAGAATTTTTAATACTCAATCACTCTTTTGATATGTTCCAGTCTGGTTTTAGACCCAACCACAGCACAGAGACCGCGCTAATAAAGGTAACAAATGACATCAGACTTAACACTGACGCAGGAAAAGTCTCAGTTCTTATCCTGTTAGATTCAAGTGCTGCTGTTGACACTGTCGATCATGGTATCCTCATTCAGAGACTTGAGAACTGGGTTGGTGTTTCTGGCACCGCCCTAAGCTGGTTTAGGTCCTACCTACAGGACAGAAAGTATTTTGTGGAGATCGGAAACTGTCTCTCAGACCATCTGGCTCTAACCAGCAGAGTGCCACAGGGATCAATCCTGGGGCCTCTCCTGTTTAATATTTACATGCTGCCTTTGGGTAGGTTAATACACAGTAATAACGTCTCATATCACAATTCTGCTGACGATACTCAGGTCTATGTGTCCCTGACAGCAGGAGAATATGGACCAGTGGACTCGCTCCTTCACTGTATCCAACAAATCAGTGATTGGATGCAAAATAACTTTCTCCAGCTAAACACAGAAAAAACTGAAATTATTGTTTTCGGACCCGAAGAGAGAGCGTTATCTGTCATCTCCAATCTCTCTCCGTAAAACCCTAAACTCAGGTCAGAAATAAAGGATTAATAATGAACTCAGACTTAAATTTCAATAGCCACATAAAATCTGTGACATCATCAGCTTATTACCACCTAAAAAACATTGCTAAAATTAAAAACATAGTGTCTAAAGCAGACTTGGAGATTCTTATCCACGCATTTGTCTCCAGTCGGTTAGACTGCTACAATGGCCTGCTCACAGGTCTCTCTAAACAAGCAGTAAAACAACTGCAGTACATCCAAAATGCTGCAGCTCGAGTCCCGACTAGAACCCGGAAGTACAACCACATTAGTCCAGTCCTCAGGTCTCTGCACTGGCTTGATATCATTATTATTTCTGATGCTTATTTTGCTCATATTCATATTCTCATATTCTGGTGCTGAAGCCCAGAACAGAGCGTCTAAACACAGGGACACATTTGAGAGCTCCCCAGATGTTTACAATCTTAACTAGAAACTTGCAATGGCTGAAGCCATTGCGATTGACTGCGGAACAGATCTAATGTGGAAATCTGCTAAAAAAAATCCTTGAAATCCTTTAAAAAGCCTTGAAACTGTTAAAATACTTGATAGATATTTGAAACTCCTGAAGTCCTTGAAATTGTTGAAACCTTTAAACTCCTGAAATCCTTGAAACTGTTGAAACATTGAAACTCCTGAAATCCTTGAAACTTTTTTAAACCTGGAAACTGTTGAAAGTGTGGAAACTCCTGAAATCCTTGAACCTCCTGATATCCTTGAAACTGGTTAAATTCTTAAACAGCTGAAATCCTTGAAACTACTGAATGTATTGAAAGTGTCCTTGAAACTGAAAAATCCCCTCACCGCTGAAACAATTTGGTTCCTGTAACTAAGGAAACCTGGTCTGTGGTCATTATCTGGTGGTGGTCTGAGTCTTCGTTTGGGTCTTGGTCTGGTGGTATAATGCAACCTATTAGGTTGCATTATACATGAAAAAACCCTATTAAGTTGCATTATACTGGTTTACATGAAAAAAACCCTATTAAGTTGCATTATACTGGTTAACATGAAAAAAACCCTATTAAGTTGCATTATACTGGTTTACATGGAAAAATCCCTATTAAGTTGCATAATACTGGTTTACATGGAAAAATCCCCATTAAGTTGCATTATACTGGTTTACATGAAAAAAACCCTATTAAGTTGCATTATACTGGTTTACATGGAAAAACCCCTATTAAGTTGCATTATACTGGTTTACATGTAAAAACCCCTATTAGGTTACATTATAGTGGTTTACATGTAAAAATCCTTATTAAGTTGCATTATACTGGTTTACATGTAAAAACCCCTATTAAGTTCCATTATACTGGTTTACATGTAAAAACCCCTATTAAGTTCCATTATACTGGTTTACATGTAAAAACCCTATTAAGTTGCATTATACTGGTTTACATGAAAAAAACCCTATTAAGTTGCATTATACTGGTTTACATGGAAAAATCCCTATTAAGTTGCATAATACTGGTTTACATGGAAAAATCCCCATTAAGTTGCATTATACTGGTTTACATGGAAAAATCCCTATTAAGTTGCATTATACTGGTTTACATGGAAAAATCCCTATTAAGTTGCATAATACTGGTTTACATGGAAAAATCCCCATTAAGTTGCATTATACTGGTTTACATGGAAAAATCCCCATTAAGTTGCATTATACTGGTTTACATGGAAAAATCCCTATTAAGTTGCATTGTACTGGTTTACATGGAAAAAACCCTATTAAGTTGCATTATACTGGTTTACATGGAAAAAACCCTATTAAGTTGCATTATACTGGTTTACATGTAAAAACCCCTATTAAGTTGCATTATACTGGTTTACATGGAAAAATCCCCATTAAGTTGCATTATACTGGTTTACATGAAAAAAAACCCTATTAAGTTGCATTATACTGGTTTACATGAAAAAACCCTATTAAGTTGCATTATACTGGTTTACATGGAAAAATCCCTATTAAGTTGCATTATACTGGTTTACATGGAAAAATCCCTATTAGGTTGCATGATTACACTGAAGTCCTTGAAACTGCTGAAGTCCTTGAAACTGCTGAAGTCCTTGAAACTGCTGAAGTCCTTGAAACTGTTGAAGTCCTTGAAACTCTTGAAATCTTGAAACTGCTGAAATCCTTGAAACTGTTGAATCCTTGAAACTGTTGAATCATTGAAACTGTAGAAATGTCTGAAAGAGCTGAAGTCCTATTAAAATGCATGGGCCTATTAAAATGCATTGCAGAATTCTCAATGCAGATTTTTGTCCGATTGCGGAAAAACCGGAAATCGCTGAAGTCCCAAAAGTAATAGCAATAATCTCCCAAACATGTGGAACGTTTTGATGTATAACTTGTGGAAATTGTTGAAAATGTGAAAGCTGTGAAACGTGTCAAAAAAAATGACGGAATAAAGAAATACAAAACCAATGGTTGACTGCGGAAGGTTCCGCAGTCAATCAATTATGAAAAACCCAAGGAGGAGGCTTTTGTAACAGACTTTCTCTGTTATAACAATTGTATTTGCAGTAATCATTCATTTTTACAAAGTGATAATTTATGTAAACAATGCACATATATGCAATACATGATAATTATGTATGGTTGATATATTTTCTATGGCCCTTGTTTGTGCATCACTTAAAAGTAATTTGTATCAGGCCTAAGTGTAATAACATGTGTTTGCTGATGAGAGAGGAGCGTCCATGGATCTATAATAATAACTGGAACATCCATGGAGCTATAATAATAACTGGAACATCTGTAAAATTGAGTCGAACTAATAACATCAGAGTTCAATGTATTCAATTAGAAGTATAAGTACTCTATGTACATGTAGAGGCTTGGAAATAGAGCAGAACGATTAACAGGCACCCCTCATTTTTATTTTGTTATTGAGAACTTTATTTTTGTTTGTTTAGTAGCTATTCATGTGATTACTACAATCTCTATATTGTTTTAAGTGCAGTTCCTCCCGTGACCAGTAGTTGGCGCATATCGCGCAGAGTGGGTAGAAAGTAGACTGAGCGCTGCAGAGGAAGAATCAATCCTCTTGAAGTAAACGCAGCTCAACGCATGTGCTCTTGTCTGTTCTTTTTATCACAGGCGTTGCTTCACGGAGGCATATGCCCTCTGAACCACTAGTCAGAGGAGCAACATTTTGGGGGCTCGTCCGGGATTGGCGCCACCTGCAGGTCTGGTGCTAATCAACATAGAACCGAGGGAAGCTGACAACCTGTTCCAGAGCCATTGATCCAGCCATGTCGGCGCTACATGACCTCAAATGGGAAATCCAGCGAGGCCTTCATCTGCTGACCAGTGCACGCAGCAAAGATATTCTCTACAAGCTGGCAGAGTCGTTACAAGATGATGAGGTGGAAGGAGAAACGCCAGGTGCAGAATCGACCGAAGTGGAACTCTTCGACTTCATTGTTGACTATATGAGAAGTCCGCAACTGAAGATCCTCGAGGACCAGGGGATGTCTCACCTGCTCGCCCTCCACGACCTCATCACAGAACTACAATTGCCATCCGCTGGTGGGGAAGAAGATGCTCAAGTATTTTCAGACAGTGAAGTGATCGTTGTAGCCCCTGTTACAAGTGAATCTGCTGCATCTCCAGTCGTCACAGTGAAGTCATCATCATCATCAGTGGCCGCTGATCCAGTTACAGGTTTAGTCAAGCTGTCGGAACTCAAGTCATTTTTGCCACATCGAGAGTACAGGATTCATGGTGGTCAAATCTCTGATTTTGAGTCGGATTTGAGTTACAATGTGTTATGTAAACAGATTGATGAAGGACTAAATGAAGGTTTTACAGAGGCTGAGATTATTAGAACGGTGTTAAGAATAATTAAGCCTGGTACCTTTAAGGATATGCTTGTCACAAAAGATAGCATGACTGTGTCCGAGTTAAAACGTTTTTTAAAAACACACCTAAGAGAGAAAAGTAGCACTGAATTATTTCAGGAGCTTAGCAATGCTAAACAATATGAAAAAGAAACACCACAGCAGTTTATGTACAGACTCATGGGTCTCAAACAGCGAGTGCTAATTGCATCTAGGAACAGCAGTGGTTTTCGCTATGACAGTCAGTTGGTACAAGGTGTGTTCCTTCATTCATTGTATCAAGGTATGAATGAAAAGTGCTCATTGGTCAGGAGGGACCTTAAACCTCACATCTCAGATTCTGGTGTCACAGATGACTCCATTTTGGAGATCATTACCAAAGCAGTTAGTGAAGATGCTGAAAGACAGTGTAGGCTGGGACAAAGCCAAAAACCAAAATCTGTGAACGCAAATACAGCACAGGTGGAAAAAGACAACAGCCCTGTAAAAATGCAAACTGAAGTCCAAGCTAACCGTGCTGCTATCAAAGAACTCACAGCGCAGGTGTCCTCTCTAACCAAAAGCTTAGAAAAGGCCCTGAACCCAATGGCCAATGCTGTATCTGACAATTCTCGTCCAACCGTGCATGCCTCAAAACAGCCAACTTCAAAATTGGAGGTTAAAGGAAAGTGCCAAAAATGTATCAATGAGGAGACTGAACACTGTACTCACTGTTTCAGATGCGGAAAAGAGGGGCACAGAGCTGTAGGTTGCCTGCAAAGAAACGTGTCGGGAAACGTGAGGAGGTCACTGGGGAGGGACCACCAGTGACGGTGATGTCAGTCCCACACAACGGAGAGAGTGGAACCGGATCAAACAACAACAAAATTCCTGAAACGACTCAAAGAAAACAAAAAGCATGTGGCACAACTAATAGGTGGTAGGTGTATGATTAATTGCCAGTTAGATGGGGTACCTCTACAGATGTTATTGGACAGTGGGGCACAAGTTAGTATTGTAGAAAAGGCATGGGTACAAACAGCTTTACCAAATGTGAAAATACAGTCACTCGAGAGTTTACTGTCAGACTACCCACTTAAAGTCACTGCGGCAAATGGTACCGATGTTCCCTTTGAAGGATGGGTTGAAGTACTGCTCGAAATAACTAGTTCACATTATGGTACAGTGTCAATCCATGTTCCGTTACTTGTTAGCCAACAAAGTATAACTACTCCTCTCCTGGGTTTTAATGTCATACAAGAGATAATCATGGGAAACTGTGACCAAAGTGACAATATTAGTTTGGTGGATTTACTGACTGAGACTTTAAAAGCTCAGAAATGTAATATTGAGTCACTTATCTCTGCTGTCCACACGAAGTCCGTTAGTAGTGAACCAGCAAGTTCAGTTGTGAAAGTAGGAAAAAGAGGACTCACTATCCATACTAACCAAATCTGTATGGTCAAATGCCACATGAGAGCATTTCCTGGTGGAGGTGAAATGTGGTTTGAGCCATCCTTGAAATGTAACTTACCCGATGGATTGGAGTCATTTCCAGCTCTTATTGATGTACCCCCGGGTGGGTCAAAGATAGTAAAAATCCCAATCCAAAATGTGACAAAACATTTTCTTGCACCCAAAGACTGTTCTAGGGCTTATTGGAGAAGTTTTTGAATACAAACCAATAAACATTAAACCTGGAATAAATGAACAAAAACAACAGACCGGAACAAATCAAGCTTTCTACTGTGAAACTCAAGTGTCATGTGACAGTCAAAGCGAGAGAAAAGAGACTTTAAGTGCAGCTCCTTCACATGTGAGATGGCACCCAAAAGTCAACTTCGAGCATCTCTCAGAGACTGATCAGGAAGTTGTGCGCCAAATGATTTTTGAACAGTCTGATGTCTTTGCTCGTGAGGAAGGAGATATTGGATATATTCCTGGGTTACAACTAAAAATCAACACTACAGACAACACTCCTGTACAAAAAAACTACAACTCCATTCCAAGACCACTGTACAATGAGGTAAAGGAGTATGTTCAAAACCTTTTAAACAGGGGGTGGATCAGGAAATCTGTGTCAGCATATTCATCACCAGTTGTGTGTGTGCGTAAAAAGGACAATACTTTGCGTTTATGTGTGGATTTTCGAGAGCTCAACCGAAAAACTGTACCTGACAGGCACCCGTTACCACGGATATAGGACCTCTTGGATAGCCTTGGTGGAAACTCCTGGTTCTCAATCTTGGACCAGGGGAGTGCATATCATCAGGGTTTTGTTAGTGAGGAGTCTAGGCCCTTAACAGCTTTTAGCACACCCTGGGGGTTGTACGAGTGGGTGCGGATCCCATTCGGTTTAACTAACGCTCCAGCCGCTTTTCAAAGGTGCATGGAGGGAGTGTTAGAAGGGATCAGAGATGAGTGTTGCGTGCCTTACTTAGATGACATACTCTGTTACTCTAAAACCTTTAATGAGCATGTAGAGCATCTTAGACAAGTCCTCTGTAAAATGAGACAACATGGCATAAAACTTCGTCCAGCCAAGTGTTCAAAAACTGTTCAAAAAGCAAATACGTTACCTTGGTAGACTTGTGTCAGGAGAAGGAGTACAGGTAGACCCTAGGGATTTGGATGCTGTGATCGCTCTGAAAAATAATAAGCCGCGCACAGTGGGAGAGCTCAGAACGCTACTTGGATTCTTGAGTTACTACCGCTCATTTATCAAGGATTTCTCACAACTGGCACGACCATTGTTTGAACTTTTACAAAAAACGAAGGACACAAACAGTGAAAACAAACCAGTACCAAAAAGGGATAAAGGACGAACAAAGAAAGGAGACAAAAACCAGCTGCCATCCCGCATGCCAATAATCTGGACAAGTGAACATCAGGACATTGTATCAAAGTTTGTGGATATTTTAACAAATCCGCCCATTCTAGCATATCCAGATTTTGACCTCCCTTTTGTTTTACACACAGATGCGTCAAATAGTGGCTTGGGAGAGGTATTGTACCAAAAACAAGAAAACAGACTTAAAGTGATTGGTTATGGCTCTCGGACTCTGACACCTGCTGAGAAAAATTACAACTTACATTCTGGTAAACTTGAGTTCTTAGCTCTTAAATGGGCTATCTGCGACAAGTTCCGTGATTATCTGTACTATGCTCCAACCTTTACTGTCTATATAGATAACAATCCCCTAACCTATGTACTTAGTTCAGCCAGGTTGAATGCTGTTGGTCATAGGTGGGTGGGAGAGTTAGCAGACTTCCATTTTGATACCAGGCAAAAGAAACCAAGATGCGGACATGTTATCCAGGTTTCCTTTAGATCTACATCAGGAAATGGGCGAGTACACAGAAACGATTTTGCCAGAAGTAGTGTTTGCAATATGGCAGGGTAGTAAAGCAGCTCAGAACAATGATGTACCTTGGATAGCTGCATTACAACTCGGCTGCAATGAAAACAATGTGTCCACAGACAGTGTCTTGAGCATGACAACCAAAGACATAAAAAGTGCTCAACAGGAAGACCAGTCAATCAGAGAAGTGATCTCACTCAAACTCAAAGGAAGGACACCGAGCGAGAAAGAAAAGCAAACAATGAGTAAACAAACAAAGAGACTTTTGTACGAGTGGAACAAGTTGGAAGTCAACAATGGACTATTGTACAGAAAAACAGAACGCAACAAACAACTTGTACTCCCCGAACAGTTGAGGCCTCTGGTTTTAAAGAGCTTGCACAACGATATGGGTCATGTTGGTACGGACAAAGTGACTCATCTGGCTCGTGAGCGATTTTATTGGCCGCATATGCAACAGGACATTGAGGACTACGTAACTAAGAAATGTCCATGCATAAAACAAAAACGCCCAAATGTCCCCCAGAGAGCACCTATGGGAACTATCACAACGAGTGCTCCGTTTGAGTTAGTTTCCATAGATTACATGCACCTAGAGCAGAGTAAGGGAGGGTATGAGTACATTTTAGTACTTGTTGACCATTTCACTCGCTTCGCGCAAGCGTACCCTACGAAAAATAAGTCTGGCAAAACAGCTGCCGAAAAGATTTTCCAAGACTTTATTCCACGTTTTGGGTACCCAGAAAAGTTACATCAGGATCAGGGACGTGAGTTTGAGAACAGTCTTTTCCAGAGATTACAACAACTTTCTGGAATTGCTCACTCACGTACCACTCCATATCACCCGCAATGCAACCCCGTAGAGCGTCTGAATCGTACGTTACTCCAAATGCTTCGTACCCTACCAGAAGAGAAAAAGAGTGAATGGAAAGATCATCTACCTCAAATAGTGCATGCTTACAACTGCACTAGGCATGAGTCGACTGGATACTCACCATTTTTCCTCTTGTACGGCAGAACCCCAAGATTGCCAATAGACCTTCTTTTTGACCACAACAAGGAATCAGAAACACACGACCGTCAGATCTATGCTAAAAAATGGGCTGATCGGATGCGTGTAGCTTACAAAATTGCTGCGGAAAATAGTCTAAAGTCATCAGACAAAAGCAAGAATCTATATGACAAGCGGATTAAAGGGGTTGCTCTGCAACCAGGTGACAGGATTTTGGTTAAAAATCTCTCTGAAAGAGGCGGTCCAGGGAAGCTGCGTGCTTACTGGGAAGCAGTAGTTCACCGGGTAGTTGAAAGAGTAGGAGAGGGACCAGTTTATAAAGTGCAAGCGGAGAGAGGCAAGAAAGTTTTTCAGTTTGAATGTTTAGCACCGTCCCCCAACTTGCTCAAAGGCTTCTCATTTCCCTTACGCTCTCCTCCCATGGAGCCCTCTAGTTTTGTTTGTGATCTGAAACGTATGTAAACATTAGCATTAGCGCAACTTCTTGTAAGCTGTACAACAATCAGTGATGAAATGTTACAAAAGTAGCGCACTGCGAACAAAATATAAAACTGAAATATTACCGCTAGTTTTGCGTGCATATGTAGTCCGGGCATAAACAGT